AATATAGTAAAGCAACTCAGCATCTCAACCATCTCAATCATCCAAACTAAACAATGTTCTCTTTCATCACATTATAAACTCCTAATTAATCAAGTCTTCTAAAGTAATAAAAATTCCTAAAAACTTAAGACAAAATAACTAATGTAATATAGTAAAGCAACTCAGCATCTCAACCATCTCAATCATCCAATCTAAACAATGTCCTCTTTCATCACATTATAAACTTCTTAAATCAATCAAGTCTCCTAAAGTAATAAAAATTCCTCAGAACTTAAGACAAAATAACTAATGTAATCTAGTAAAACATCTCTATCATCTCAACCATCTCAATCATTCAAACTAAACCATGTCCTCTTTCATCACATCATACACTCCTAATCAATCAAGCACTCTAAAGTAATAAAAACTCCTCAAAACTTACAACAAAATAACTAATGTAATAAATGGACAGATCCTACTAAACTTGAGTATTGAAGAAATAATACAAGAGTCAGAAGGAATAAATTACTTAAGCAAACGCCTTGTTACACGACCAGTAACAGTATCCATTTAGTGACCCTTGCTATTTCAGTTTCAATTAGGCGGACTACCCGATTTCGACAAAGGATAATCACTGCAGTATCCCACAGTTTAATCGAAGGTATCTCGTACAAGATAACGCAAGTGCGTGTTCGATCGATGCAGGTGGTTCCCTGTAGAATCTGCAACCATAAATTGCTGTCTTAACGATCCACCCACTTTTGCAACGGGACTCCAGTATGGGCGTGTTTCGAAATGAAACTAATAATCTGCTGAATCTGGCCCTCGGAATAGGACACAGATCGAACGACATCGATTTTCCATAAATGACGGATGTCATCGAACCGCGGCGAAATATACCGACACTCCAATTTCCCTGTTTTGTGGCTGACATACTTCGAGATTTATGCTACCTTTCAGAAGTTTTAATAAAAACCGGAAGTTTTTCTTCTCGGAATGGACTCGATTCTTGTTCTGTAGTTCGGTTTCTATGTCGTTATTCCTTTGTGAAGTTTTGCTAAACGGACTTTACATTTTAACGAGGTAACGTTGAACGTTAATTATGAAAAATTAGTTCATTTCAGTATTAAGAAACTTTGAAAGAAATGCTTTGACAGTGAAAAAATATTTTTCAAATATTTATATTAAACTTACCGACGTATAATTACTTTGAAATTGAAAAATAAGCAAATGTTAACACATAAATTGTGTATAGGGGGTCTCACAACTAGTGTAGGTTCTTGGAGTAGCTGATTCTGAATAAAATTTCCCTTTGCAAAAATGGGGTGTGAAGCTTCGTTTCTGAATTATTAAGGAAAAACGCGGACCAATCAGAGCGCGACGATAGCGCATACACAGACGCAAGAGCGACAGCTTCGGATAACGCGTAGTTATCCAACGCGTGGTAATCGTAATGCAACGCGTGGTAATCCAACGCGTAGTAATGCAACGCGTGGTAATTCGAGGCGTAGTAATGCAACGTGTGGTAATCCCACGCGTAGTAATCCAGCGTGGGAATATCCAACGCGTAGTGATCCAGTGCGTGGATATTCAACGCGTAGTAGACCAACGCATAGTAATCCAGCGTGTGGATATCCAACGCATAGTATTCCAGCGCGTGGATATTCAACGCGTACTAGTCCAACGCGTAGTAGTCCAACGCGTAGTAATACAACGCGTGGTAATTCTAAGCGTAGGAATCTAACGCGTGGTAATCTAACGCGTAGTTAACCAACGCGTAGTAATCCAGCGTGTGGATATCCAACGCGTAGTAATCCAACGCGTGGATATTCAACGCGTAGTAGTCCAACGCGTGGATATTCAACGCGTAGTAGTCCAACGCGTAGTATTCTAGCGCGTGGATATTTAACGCGTAGTAATACAACGCGTAGTAATCCAGCGTGTGGATATCCAACGCGTAGTATTCCAGCGCGTGGATATTCAGCGCGTAGTAGTCCAACACGTAGTAGTCCAACACGTAGTAATACAACGCGTGGTAATTCTAAGCGTAGGAATCT